TAATAATTTCTTTCCACTTTGGCCTTAGACAGATGTTCTTTAAATCTTTTGAGTAAATCTTTGGCTTCTTCCTCTTGATGAGCATTATAATGTAAATATAGATGCTGGTCGCAATTCTTGGTGATGGTTGCGACATATAAAAATGGTTTGCGACACCTGGTTGCAACCACTTTGCAACCACTTTGGTTTCCTTTTTTTGGATTGCGACATGGAACACTAAATGTAAACTATCTCTAAAATGTTGACAAGTATCACACAATCAGTCCTTGGACTCATAATTTAAATTTCTGGTGTCAATTGATGTCATAATTTTCTGAATGCATCATATTTTAAGGATTTCAAATTATTATCTTCTTCTAGACCAGCCAGAAAATCCCTGTACACAGATTTATAACTCATTTCAGCTGGTAAGAATGTGATTGATTGAGTTATTCTATTGATATTTCTTCCTGGACTTGGTAATCCATGGACTTCTGCATAATTTTCTAGAAAATTCTTTATTACTTCAGCAACATTTTTATCAATCACCATTTTAGTTTTCCATTGAGGCATTCTTTTAATATTACCATGAATTCTTGGTAGAAGACCATTATTTATCAGGTTATTTCTAATTTCCTGGACTTGGTAATCCATGAACTTCAGCATAATTTTCCAGAAAATTCTTTACTACTTCTGCAACATTTTTGTCAATCACCATTTTTGTTTTCCATTGAGGCATTCTTTTAATATTACCATGAATTTTTGGTAAAAGACCATTATTTATCAGGTGATTTCTAATATTTTCAAAATAAGTCCTGCCAATCCCCAACATATTGAGATAAGTTTCTTGACAAAGAAGTGTATTGTGATCCCAATGATAGAAAGTTCTTTTATTGGAACTAGTTTTCTTTTTAAGGCATCTACTACTGCTTGTTAATCCACCATCCATTGCCCTAAGTTGGGCCATTAAAAATATGTCTTGTTCTGATTTAGAAAGAGCTTGAAAGGATTCCCTTAATTCTGCAAATTGTTCCCTGGGAATTCTTGAAGAACAACCACAATTACATCCCTTTTCTAAAAAATCAACGGCCTTTTGATATTCAGCAGAACCATTATACTTATTATTCCCTATATATATTTTATGTTCACTTTGTAGTTTTTTATAATTGTTTTAAAATTGAAGGAAAGTATATGAATGGAATTAAACTTAGATGAACCAATGGAATAGTTTTAGGTAAATGATTTAAAAGATATGATTGTTCAGTAACTTGTGAAGAGAAATTGGAAAATTTGGTCAACCTCCCCATGAAAAATAATTATGGCCTAGATTTAAATTGGCTTATCATCATTAATAATCAAAATGAGAAAAAACACAAACAATAAATGAAATAATAAGTTAATAAAAAATTGACTACCTTTACTAATGAAATTTTCCACACATTGTTGATCATAAACAGAAAATGTTATTATTGCTGTAAAAAATCACGTGTAATGATTCATATTTTGTTTACATAAAATTTACTTGATTATTTATTATTATGTTCAAAATATCTTCTGAATGGATTATAACAATAAGATTAATTATACGTAGTTTATTTATATTTTTATTATTTATATATTATTATGTATTTTTAACATAAAAAGAATTATCCTCTAAGAAATAAA